AACCAGCTGCACCCCGTCAATCTTGCTGCCCACCTTGTAGCTCCACTGCCTGTTTACACGGCTCTCACACAACAAAAGATTTCTCTCAATCTCTGTAGGCTCCTCCCCACACATGATTTATCAACACTGGAATACTCACAGGTTCGGGTTTTAAAAAACGTTCCAAAACGCAAAACATCCATCCGAGACTCGGACTGCAAGTAAGTGGTTGGGTTGGGAAGAATCTGCGGTGATGTGCTGTGCTGTGCGGTGCTGTGCTGTGCTGTGGTGCTCACTTTTGCTGCGCTGCGGACCAGATTTTAGGATAATCTCGCGAAGGTTGTACTCTTGCAGAATCTCTGACTTGCTCCTTCCTCCAACGCGCACCACCTGTTATCAGTGAGAACCACACAGATCCAGAGCATGGTTGGTGAAACACACGCACAGGATGGACTCCGCAGAAGGGCTGGGGACTCACAGCCCGCCCACAACAGCACGACACCCCCCTTGAACTCACGTTCTTAATGCCGCTGGCGATGAGGCCCTCCAGGAACTGATCCAGTGCGTGGTTGGTGAAGCACACGCACAGGATGGGCCCTGCTGACCTGGCCACCTCCCTGCCCCGAGCGAACAGTTCCAACGAAGTGCTCTTCTTGAGAGCATTGCTCAGCAGAAGCTCCACAAGCTTTATCCCCACAAACGTCTGCCATGTGAAGTGAACACACACACACGCACGCACACACGCACGCAAACACACACACGCACGCACGCACGCACGCACGCGCGCACGCACACACGCACTCACATACACACACACACACACACACGCACGCACACACACACACACACACACACACACACACACACACACGCACACACGCACACACACAACCCCCAGTCAGACAGCGCCATAGCAGTGAAGGCTTTGTGTCAAACCTGCATAAAACGTCAAAACGGGCTTGAATTACACAAGAACATCTCAGAGCAATAGGAAAAGGCTGGAAAAGGTGCAGGGGGGAAACGGGAGTAGCGAGGGTAGAGGAAGCTCCCTTGAAGTCGTCCGCATCTTACTAACAACGGTAACGGCGGCTGGTACCTGTGGCCACAAAGGAGCATTTGAGAGCGACACAAGTCTCCAACCCACCCACCTTGCCGGTTCCTGGAGGGCCCTGCAGCAGTGCGAACTCCTGAGTGAGGGCAGCCTGGAGTGCCGCAGTCTGGGGCTCGTCCAGCAACGCTTCTTAGCCTTTGAGACTAGATGTCACAGCTCGTCGGCCTCTACATTCACACATGTTTTACCCGCCTCACCACTCGCGCTCACACAACCCACCTTGCCGGTTCCTGGGGGGCCCTGCAGCAGTGCGAACTCCTGAGTGAGAGCAGCCTGGAGTGCCGCAGTCTGGGGCTCGTCCAGCAACGCTTCTTAGCCTTTGAAACTAGATGTCACAGCTCGTCGGCCTCTACATTCACACATGTTTTAGCCGCCTCACCACTCGCGCTCACACAACCCACCTTGCCGGTTCCTGGGGGGCCCTGCAGCAGTGCGAACTCCTGAGTGAGAGCAGCCTGGAGTGCCGCAGTCTGGGGCTCGTCCAGCGACGTGCAGCGCAGGAGAGCATCCATGGGGAAGGCCGCAGGGCTGGAGATTATCACGTTCCTGATGGCGAACTCGTCCTCTGGATCAGTCTGTGGCTGCTGGGAGGAGGAGGAGGGTGCCTTGGTCTTGAGCAGCAGGCTCAAGTCGTACCTGCAAGCAAGGGATCACATAGCACAGGATACACACAGGTATAGCCTTGACGGGGAAGGGCGTGGGGCTGGAACTCCTCACGTTTCTGATGGCAAACTCGTCCTCTGTAGCGTGCTGATCGGCAGTTTCGGCCTGCTGGGAGACGGAGGGAGACTTGGTCTAGAGCAGATCTGCAAGCAAGGTAACACACAACACAGGCACACACACGCATACACACGCGCGGAGGCTTGCTCTCGATGAGAGGAGGAGGTGAGGATTTAGAACATTGCCTTGGTGGTGGTAGATGAGATCTCGAAAATAATCCTGAAATGCTGAAAAGACATGCCATTGTTGCAAGAATGTCATGCATGCAAGAATGTTGTGAGAAAGCTAAAAACTACAAACATGAATTTCCCCCCTCTGACCAACCCACCCAACCTCTCTCCCTCTCATTTAGCCCATCTCCTCCAACATAACCGTGCAGACCCCCCTTGAGAGTGACTCTCCCCTTCCCACTTACATCATCCCTCCTTTGATGTACGCAGGCAGCTTATACGCTCCATGTGCCCTCCCAGGTGCTCCAACAGGTGCCCCTTCAGGTGCCCCACAGATGTACTCAGAGAAGGGAAGTGACGTGTCAGTAATGCTCTGCAGCGCCTTCAGAATCGGCTCATATGCAAAGAAGCTTCCAGCCGCTTCCAGCATCACCACCTGCGTCCTCCCGCCACTCCCGCCACTCCCGTCACTCCCCCTGTTGCCGTCCTGTGCGATCAGCCCCAGCAGGTCCGCACTGAACCCGTCGCCCCCGCACGGCTGCACCCCGATCTGTGGTCTGGCAGTGGCAAGCCTCCATGTTTCGCGGGCTGTGATGGTGGCGAAGATGAGCCGGTGGGAGGAGGAATCACTTGCTGAATTTTGAGTGTCCCTCGGAGGGGGGATTTGCTGTTGCTGCGGCTGTTGCTGCCTGTGATCGTGAGTGTGAGTGTGAGTATGACTGGACTGAAAGTCTTGGATCCACAGGCAGACCAAGGAGCCGTTCTGCAGCCTCCGCGTGTTCTCCCAGAACTCCACCCTGAAGGAAAACACACAACAAAACACAAGGAGGACGCGAGAAAGAGGTTAGGCGGGTTTGACGATCAGGAACAACTGGCTGGCAGGCAAGAACCAACCAAGACGCACGCATGCGTATGATAAAAGTCGGCATCAAGTGCAAATAAGCTTGGGTTACCTGCTTTTATGAGCATTCCGGCCCCGTGGCATGGGAGGTTCCAAAAAGTCAACTAGAAAGTGCACGCCGCTGCGCCTGTCCGTGTCAATACCCAGCACACGCACATCCCTGAGCAGATACACATCCATGTCTTCGGAAGAAAACCCCACCACGCCCTTCATATCCTCCGTCAGACCCCGCACCAACTCCCTGTCCGCCGTCAACAGCCCCATCGCCTCCTCCCTGCTGCCGCCTCTGCCCCCACCACCGCCGCCGCCGCCGCCGCCGCCGCCGCTGGTCCTGCTGCTACTTCCCCCGCCACCACGAGCATCCCGGGAGGAGGACTCGTGGTTGAGGTGGTGGAGGAGGAAGAGCGCCTTGCTCCAGAGGGGGGAAATCAAATCGTGGCGCAGCAGGCGGAAGTGGATGTCCACGTGGCGGGCTACCGAGCCCGCTGGCAGGTGGTGCGGCTCGCTGGGGTGGTTGTGTGGCAGGTATAGCGAGGCCTTGCACAGCACCTCCTCCATCGTTGGCGCCACTGAGATCTGAGGTCAAACAAAGGAGGGGATAGGACAGGACGAGTCTGGTCTTCTCTTCGGAAAGGGAACAATCAAGACAGGAACATACTGGTTTCAGAAAAGGGAATTATCAAGACAGGAATCCGGTATCAGGCAACACTACCAAGAATAAGCACTACCACGAAAAACCCATCAAAATCAGCACTACCAAGAATCAAGCTAGAAACAATTTTATTACCAGAAATGATTGCCATGTCACGTACATCAGAAGATGACCATCATCTTACGGCTGAGATTTCAAGATGGTCGTTGTCATGTCGCGGGCAGCCATCGAAGCTGAGCTCGCCCGGACCATCCACATCCTGCATGCTGGTCACGCGCTGACCTGCACACATGGTTCATATCACAACAGTAGCACGCGAGTGTCATTGTCTTGACATTAGACGGAAATCTGAAACATTTGACATGAGCCGGAATTGATCAAAACAGACAGCAGCTCGTGGCACAGCACGCACGGACCTGGAGGGAAGAACTCGGCATGAAGCAGCTGCCCTTCCTCCATCCGCTGCCGCTGTCTCTCACTGTGCTGGCGTCTATCCAGCGACTTCCGCAGCCTGTAGATCACCGATTGAATGCTATGGTATTTCCCATCAAACACCGGCTTCTCCCTCTGCCACTTCTCCAGCATGCCTTCCACCTCCTGCATGTCTGCATTGGCTTGTGCCGCGTCGAATAAGGAGTAGAATCTATCCATCGTGAGGTTGAAGAAGCTGATGATGACGTGGAATGCCGCGTCCTAGTCGGTGATATTGTCGTCGTGACGTGAGAGATCGCGGATCATCCCGCGTTGGGTTAGGAGTCGCATGCAGCTGATTAGGTACTCCTGGAGTCCTTCCACCTCGACGATTGCTGCTAGGGTTATGTTGACTTTACTCGATGCCGGGTTGTTGAAAAACTCGGGCTGCAGAGATTCAATTGCAAAATTCGAACGAAATAAAGGTTGAATGTGACCAAAAAAGAGTACAAATAATTAGTCAAAGTGCGAGACGTTACCTGACAGATGACCCTGAGCAAAGGCAGAATCACGCCCTGGAAGGAGACGAATTTGCTGTGGTTCCCAGCGGACACGGATCTTGAAGGACCGCAAGCCACGGCCTCCCGACAGATGCTAACCACCTTTCTGCCAAAGACCTTGTCATCAGCGAGCACAATCACCAGATCTGCAAAAAACGGTTAGAATTGAACATTGTTAGATCTCGTGACATCAGTATCATTGACTGACAAGTTGAAAATAGCACTGTCAGCACTCTCTGAAGGGCAATTTGTCACCATGGGAAGGTTTGAAAAAATGCTAGTACCTGAGACATCATGAGCTTCCATTGCGTTCACGAAAAAAATCATTTGAGACTGATCCACGAAGTCTCTGTCACTCAGGAGGAAGGACCGTAGGTCAGGACCCTTCATCCCCTGACCGTTTAAACTGGACGTCCCTCCTCGTCCTCGTCCTCCTCTTCCTCCTCCTCCCCCTCCTCTTCCTCCCCCTCCTCCTCCTCTTCCTCCCCATCCTCCTCCCCATCCTCCTCCCCCTCCTCCTCTCCCTTCTCCTCCTCTCCCTCCTCCTCTCCCTTCTGATCCTCTCCCTCCTCCTCCTCCTCCTCCTCTTCCTCCCCTACCTCTCTCACTCCCACCACGTCCGCGACCTCCGCCATGATTCTGATTCTGATTATGATTCTGATTCTGATTCTGATTCTGATTCTGATTCTGATTCTGATTCTGATGATCAGACTGCCGCTTTCCTCTGCCTCCAAAGTTCCCCCGTCCGCCATGATTCCGGCCTCGCCCCCTGCTGCCTCCTCTACCGGAGCCGGACTGGTGATCCATACCTCTCAACAAAATAGTTGAGTGATTGGATTCCAACGTAGGACAATCGGATCTATGAAGAGTGTTTCAGCGGCATAGAAGAGTTCCTCTGGTATGGGGTATCAGGTCCGACCTACGACATCCTGCTCTAAGAGCTGTGCCAGTGAAATGATGTGACGGAATCTCCTTGTGAATGGGGTGAATTATCACTGATGGTCACTTGCAGCACAGCCCCACAGAAGGCTCCGAATGAGGTCCAGTTTCGGTTCAAAATTGGTAATTTCACACTCCTGCTGACCAGCAGCACTAGCAGTGCCAGTGAGCTGTGAGCTGATGTGATGTGAAGCACATCTGTTCCAGATAGAGCTTACGTTCCTCAACAACATCCGTCGATATCCGGCGAATCGACGGATGTCCGCCCTTTGAGATGTCACGCTCCGCGCTTTTGTGACCTCCAACATGCGGAAAACCAGGTGCGTGTAACCTAAAACAATGATATGCAGTGAAAGAGATGCCCCAAATCTGACAGTGGTCGCTTCTATTCGCTGAATTCCCCGTTTTATGCCCGTTTTCCTGCCCAGACGCACTTTCGGCATCCCTCGACATCTCCAAGACATCGGGGGTGTCGAGGCTGGGTGTCGAGGTGTCGAGGGCCCTTTGAACGAAGACCTCTCGGGAAAACACCCAAACGAGATCCGTCCACTTCCGTCAAAACCCGTCATAACCTCCCATCTAACTTCAGACATGCTGCAGAACTGGCAAACAAAACGACAGGCTTTGGGAGCTCCTTCTCACGCCTATATTATCCCGCCGTTTCGCACGCTTCGCTCACGCCTTCTTCGCGCCTTGCATTCTCCCAGTCGGTTTGCGGCATCGCGTGCTGATCAGCTCCACTGGCAGCTGCAACACCTCCTCATCTACAAGCAGCTCCCTTCAATTTATAATATTCCTAAACCGAATCAAACATGTATTTAGTGGATGTATAGCCTTGCCGTACTTATATTTTTTTTCATGAGCAAAATACTTGAGCAATGTACAACATCCATTCATGACTGACAGGTAGGAGAGTGAGCTAGTTTCGCTAACTGTTCCTTCCTTATCCTCTCTGCAGAGGCTGGAAGGCCAAAGATATGACATCCCAGATGGATATGAGATTTGCCCTCCATGTAAGAGGAACCTCCGTGTTGTACCTGTTAGTGTACACATATATATTTGGGAACCTGTACGCTACGTTGGGTTGCATTGTAGGGGGTACGGGATGTTACATGTAGATTGAGATGGTACAGAAACCATTGTTGACTTGCCAGCCATTTACAGGTGGTTATATCGTGAGAGGCCAGGGTGGCCTATTAGAACGTGAGGCTGTACTTGCGGATCTCGTACATGATAGATGGTATGGAAACCACATCCTTCATTAGTGATGCGCCACCCTCCACTCGCTACAGTCACAGTTGGCACATAAGGAGGGGAGGAGGAAGGTCAATAACATACAGAAAAAAATGGCATACATGTGTGGATAAGGGCAATGCAGATGTAAGACATGAGCAACATATTCAACAGGCATTGTCGACAACTGCCAGTTAACAGGCTCAGCCGCATCAAAGGGCTTTCAAAACAATGGTGGGCACACACAGCCATCAAGTCACTTCCAAATGAGACGAGAAGCGTGCACTACAAAACAGTTGTGCATTCTCAAGACCCATCTTCAGGAAGTCACTGTGATACATGCTTAAAGCATTGATGGTGTGTACTGGCATCAGCAATTGTGTTGCCTAGAAACACACCTTGAGACAGTCAGAGCGGCATAGGTAGTAGAGCAGCAGCTGGGTGAGGGCCGCTTTAGGATTGTGATGCGTACAGAAACGGAGCATTCAATTTAGAACGAGTAGTGTGCTTTCACGCAGCAAAGATGCTTCCACGACACACACCTTGAGGCAGTCGGAGAGGCGCGTGTAGTAGAGCAGCAGCTGGGTGAGAGCGGCTCTCAGGATGTCCATGCCGCACACAAAGTTGCTGAAGTTGGTGATGATGTCCTTGTGGATCAGATCTATGGTGGCCTGTAGGATTAGCGAAGGGGCGGGGGGAGATGGAGGGGGGGATAGTGGAGAAGCAGCTGGGTGAGAGTGGCTCTCAGGTTGTCCATGCCGCACACAAAGTTGCTGAAATTGGTGATTATATCCTTGTGGATCAAATCTATGGTCGCCTGCACAGAGGACATCAAAACGGGGAGATATGATTGTTCTCAGAAGTTTAGAACTCTTGCTGAGCTTGGTGTTGATTTCCTTGTGAATCAGGTCTATGGGGGCTTGTTGGATCGGGAAGGAGAACTGGCAGGTGGTGCATGAGGTATGCCGCATGCTGGATTGGTCAAGGGAGACACTCTCGACTCTGCACTTTCAGTTGCAGAGGTTGGTGATTATGCCCTCGTGGATCAGGTCTATGGCAGGTCTATGGTGCCCTGTCTGACAGTTTTGTGGAATGGGGACATGGAAAGCGGGAGACATGATGGCTCAAAAAAATCTCAAACACTGGCTGGCGATGATTTCTTTGAGGATGAGGCCTATGGTGGCGTGCAGTGCAGGTGATAAGTCGATTTTTTAGGCGACTCAAAAATCGACCTTTCCTTGAGGATGAGGTCTATGGTGGCGTGCAGGTGGTATATGGAAGGAGGAAGCCCATATTGATTCTGAACACATGCCGAACAACACACATTTGGTTCATCTGCTCTCTCCTCCCCCTCACTTAAGTGCACTTGGAGGCGCCTCACTTAAGTGCATTTTGAGGCGCCTCACTTAAGTGCATTTTGAGGCGCCTCACTTAAGTGCATTTTGAGGCGCCTCACTTAAGTGCATTTTGAGGCGCCTCACTTAAGTGCATTTTGAGGCGCCTCACTTAAGTGCATTTTGAGGCGCCTCAAAAAAGTGCATTTTGAGGCGCCTCAAAACACATTTGGTTCATCTGCTCTCTCCTCCCCCTCACTCTCCATCCATCTGACAGCACAAGTCCTCGAGGTGCAGGTCCACCTCGGCGGCTGTGATGTGGGTGACCTGTGCTGTGCGTCGCTCTTGTTGGGGCGCCTAAACAAACACTCCACCTCTCTCTTCCCCCTCACCTTCCATCGCACGGCAAAGTCCTTGAGGTGGGGTTCCACCTCCTTGGCTGTGATCGGAGCAGCATCCACCCGTCGCCCTGCTGTGCTGCCGGTGCTGCTGCGCGCCGCCACTGCATCTGCTGTTTCATCGCCTGTGCCTGTTACATGTGTGCGCGTGTGCGGGTGAAGGGGTAGGGTGGAGGGGAGGGGAGGAGGATAGTCCACTCAATGTGAATGCAAGGGCAAGCATGCACACATCCACACTCAGTGGTGCACGGCCAAACACACACGCACACACAGCATGCAGCTCACCTGTTCGCTTCTTGACAAAGTCAACAAGTCCCCTGAAGTACTCGTGTAGCTCCTCCTCCTGCCAAGTGTTGTGCGAGGGAGGCAACAAAGAATCAGCAGAAAAGAGTGCCACATGTGAACAGGCACCGTGGAAAGAAAGGGTGGATGGCTGATCAACCAGCAAGCTGAGAATCACACTAATTGACAGGGGTGCATACCCTTCTGTGTGTGCGGTGGTCACCCACACACCATAAAGATGGTGGAGAAGGAATCACTTGTGAGAATTTTACAGAAACAGCTGAGCATTTGAGAAGCACACCAGTGGTGAGGAAGGTGCACCATCACAGGCCCACAGGAAGGCACACACTGCTCTCAGGCCAACCCAGCTGCGCTCCGCCCAGCTGCGCCCAGCCCAGCCCGGCCCAGCCCAGCCCAGCCCAGCCCAGCCCAGCCCCTTACCACGAAGATGGTGGAGAAGGAGCTGAGCAGCTCTGCGAAGTGGCGCTGAGTCTTGCCCTCCTCCACCCCCGCCTCCTGTGCCACACACACGCCAGCAGTGGAAGGAAAGAAAGGAAAACAAGTTATCAAGGTGACTTTTGAGTCGACTCAAAAGTCACCTTGCTGAGTCTTGCCCTCCTCCACCCCGGCATCCTGTACCACACACACACACGCGCAAGCAGGGGAAGGAAAGGATGAATGCATTTTGAGAAACAAAAGCCTTGAAATCTCTGCCGGCAAGTGACCCATGGCATTTCTGACCCTGTTCATTTCCACATTCCTACGAGCATCGTACCTTGAGCACGGCGAGAATGAGGTCGTAGTTGTTGATGAGAAACACGGTGCGCTGCTTGGGCTTGGGGAAGAGCCGCGAGATCTCCACCAGCAGATGGTCCACAGCGCTCCTCAGCCGGTCCAGGTTCATCTCCAGCTGCCCATCGCCCTGCCCCGTGCTGAGATTCATGAGCGACGCGGCAAACTCGGCGTAGCGCCGCGCCACGTAGTGCGGGTGCACGTCCTGGTCCCAGAGGGCGCGCGGGTTGGCCTGGCGCAGGCTGCCCAAGTGGAGGTCGAATACGAGCTTGAAGCGCGGCCACAGCAGCAGATTCACCTGGGGGGGGGGGTGGGGGGTGGTTGGGGTAGGAAAGAGCACAGATGGGAGAGGGGAGAGGGAGGCAGGAGAGAAAAGGGTTGAGGAAAAAGGGTGGAGATGGGAGGGGAAAGGGGGGGCTTGAGGGAGCCACGCAGTGCGGGTGCACGTCCTGGTCCCAGAGAGCGCGGGGGTTGGCCTGGCGGAGACTGGCGAGCTGGAGGTCGAATACCAGCTTGAAGCGCGGCCACAGCAGCAGATTCACCTGGGGAAAGAGAGGGTGTATTGGGAACGGGGTAATAGTGATGGCAGAGGAAAAAGAGGAGATGGGAGTGGGACGAGAGGGGGAGAGGGGAGGGGAAGGGGAAGGGGAGAGCAAG